ACCAACATCTGGTGAAAATTTCATGTCATTAGCACCTCTAATAATATATTTACTGAGAAAAATGGTGACGTGTTCAATACTTATTTTACCCGCTGTATGTTTAGAGTATTTGCCTCTGTGATTGTTTCCATTCATAGTGAAGCTTCGATGACCAGGGATCCTTGTACTGCCTTGTGTTGGTTTGGTCACATCATTAGACACGTGTGAGATCTATTTTGTGTTGCTGTGTTTCATTTCAGACAGCAGTGCTTTATTTGTGTCTCATTTTAGCTACCTGTGCTTATCATTGTGGAACCCATGTAAATCAAAGGGGAAAATGTGTTTTAGTGGGTGAAAATAGGTCTGCATGTTTTGTCTAACTGGGTGAAACGTACTTAGTGTTCTGACAAAAGGGTGGCCATTTTAATAAATGGGTTCGRGGAACTGAGCATTTGGTTCAAAGAACAGGGTTTAGTGTTTTAATAACTGAGGAAAAACTGTAATTATCTGGCTTAAATAGAAATGTGTTTATTTACTGCCCTCTTGTGGTCAAAATGTGTAAGTGCAATTTTAGTAAAGCTRGTTTTAATATACTTTTTCCGGTTATGCTTTTCAAAGTAAAATATTTAAACTGACATAGCAACAGTACATCTCGAATGTGATTTGATCATAAAGTTTGAAATAAAAACTTGCTCTTTTATTTAGCTCATATTTTACTAGCTTATTTAATTGGCTTATTTTTAAATTGCTTGTTTTGTTTCAGATTTTGTAATTTTTATTTTTATCAAAACACTCTTGGATTTTGGATCTCAATGAGACAAACAATACAAATAATAGTCAAATAAAAAAGTAGAGATAGACATGTTAGTAAAATGTAGTTTCAGTTTTCAGTGATTTATTTTTTATTATGTTTTATTTTTAACTGTTAAGGGTTTTGATCTGTTTACCTCTATATATTTATTTTCTGCCCTCTTGTGGTCAAAATGCAGAACTACAAGCTAATCAATCGTCAAAACAAACATAAAACACCTTTTAGTGAAATTTAAACTAAAAATATGTTGTTGTAAAAAATAAACAGTCATTCTGCGTGAATAATTTGTTTTAACGTATTTACTTGATCTTTTATAATATGCTTGAAATTTAGCTGTTTATGTAAACAAACATTGAAACATGTTGCTTCACTGCCCTCTGAAAAATTTGAAACTACAAATGAATAACTACAAACTAATTATTTTTAGTGTAAAAATAGCAATCGAGCATTTTCCTGAAAAGATATTTACTTTTAGCTGTAACAGAGTAACTTGGTTATAACATGTGGTGCAATTGTTAGACTTTTTCCAATTAGTTTGTTTTTGTACTATTACAACAAGAGCAAACTCCTGCTGATTGAGAAAACAATGTGAAATCACGGTTGGCTGCCAAAAAAATCTGATGACATGCATTCTGAATTTCCAACAAAATTCTGAAGTAAGATCAAACGAACAGAATTTATCGATGAATCAAAGCTGACAGGGAAGCAAAGGTCAGTCAGTGTTGTCTGGAAATAACTTTAACAATGTTCCAGTGAAGTTATGAAAATAACTATGCTGCTATCTTGTGGTGAACGTCTGTGACAAGTTTTGAACTTTGGCAACATTGGTGGCTCAGCTGGTAGAGCTGATGCCTCTCAGCAAGAAGGTTGCAGGATTGAATCCCAGCCAGGGACCTTTCTGGGTAGAGTTTAATTGTTCTTTCTGTGCATGCATGTGTTTTCTCCGGGCACTCCAGTTTCCCCCCACAGACCAAAATCAGGGGTGTTGGCTGATCTGGTAACTCTAAATTGTCCCTAGGTGTGAGTGAAAGGTTATTTGTCTCTATGTGAGCTCGTGATGGACTTGTGACTTGTCCAGGGTCTACCCCAGGGGTGGGCAATCCTGGTCCTCGAGGGCCGCAGCCCTACAGGTTTTATGATTTTCCCTGCTCAACACACCTGATTCAGACACTGAATTACCAAATTCTGCAGTGTGGAGGACCGACACTGACATAACTAGAAAAAAAGCAGAAATATATAAATGGACCAAGAAATAAATTCAATTTAAAATGTGCCAATTAAATTAAAAAAGGAGAGCTTTATCTCATGTTTTATAATTTAAAGCTGCTATATGTAGTTTGTTTAGAGCAGGGGTGGGCAATCCTGGTCCTCAAGGGCTGCAGCCCTGCAGGTTTTATGTTTTTCCCTGCTCCAACACACCCGATTCAGACATTGAATTACCAAGTTCTGCAGTATGGAGGACCAACACTGACATAACTAGAAAAAAAAAACAGAAATATATAA